GTGAAAATGAAATTCCCTTTTTTAAAGGAATAACTCATATACTAATATCTTAATGCATGTCGACCATGTTCCTTCCTCTGGTGAATGTCATGTCCCAATAACCAAAAAGTTTACAAGTTAGATACAAATTGATACACATTTCAGTTCAATATACTATATAATATATTTATTAAAAAAATCATTGCTTTCTTACCTAAAATTAAAGACAAATAATTTTAAAGATATGATCATGTATACAGGATGTAAGAGCTGATTAAATTAAATTGTATTTATATTATATTTTAATAATTAAATCAAATTAGTGTTAAAAAGTGTATTGAATTAAATTTATACCAATCATTTTCCTTACAAGTTATAAATCCAAAAACTTTGGAAGAGATCTCAAACTTTAAGATGAAAATAATGAAGCCAATAACTAATAGACCCTTAATAATGAGAATATTTACAAGTTACAAATCCAAAAACCCTAGGAGAGTTGCATTGGACAGAGCAATGTAATTGATTGCTCTATGGCACCTTAATTTTAACAATTCAACTATAAATCCAAAATCCCATAGTGGTTGTAATTTTTAAATGCCAAAAGAGTTGTTCTTTGTTTCTCACACCTTACAACGCCATTTGTTTCTATTAAAAGCAACTTCCCATGGTTTTAGGTTCTTTCAAAGCCTCATTGAATCTGACCATAATATGGCTTATAGATTTATGTTAAATAGTCAGTTTCATAATGTCAAAAGCCTTGATGAAGAAGATAGTGTTAATCTTAGATCTTCACCTATGGTTGTATTCCGTCCCAATTTCATGCCCATTTTAGAAGAAACTTGCAGAGACATCAAAAGGCTCAAACAAATTGTAAGCTTTCCTGAATCAATCAAACGTAATAGCTTTAACATGGACACCAGCATTTCTCGTAGCAATAGCATTGGTAGCTTCAACAACGTCCTGAGTATCAATTTTCAAGATCGCATATACACTTATAGGGGAGGTACTTTGTTGCTGAAGTTGTTGATGAGGCAATTACTGCCATGATTAATGTTGGAGAAAGTGCACTAGAAAAAGATGAGATGACAGATGGGATGAAGTTGGTGCAACTTCTCATTTCTTGTGTCAAAGCATGGCATGCCGTGACAAATCCCAAGAATCAGCCATGTTATCAGAGCTTCATGCCAATGCTCTGGTTTTTGGCTTTGCTTTTAAGAGGTGGCATTATGTTTTGTCTAAGGCAACCGATGGTCTAGCTATGATTCAAGCTCTTAGTGCTATCTTGATTGTGGGACCAATGAATGCTTCTTGCAATAAAAAAGAGGAAGCTCTTGAATTGGTTTATGAAA